CCCCCTTCACGCTCTCACTGGTACACATATACTTGCATACACTAACTGGCAGACGCACAGACATTGGTACACAAACTGTTTGACCAACACACATTTTTAGTGACAGAAAAACACAAGCATTTACTGACAGAGACAGACACGCACACACACACTCTAACTGACACTCACTGAAAGACACATGCTCTCACTGATTTGACAAACACTGACAGACACACTCTCATTGACACTCACTGAAAGACACATGCTCTCACTGATTTGACACACAATGACAGACACACTCCCTCACAGACACACACTCAGAGACACACACAGACAGACTCACACACTGACTGTCCCACACACAGTTCAACATTCTTGCACACACTCACATCATTGTATTCATTGCTCCCTAACTTTGGGAGCTGGTCTGGGACCTCTCCCTGATCTTCTCTTGAGAGCTCAGTCTTCTTGCTCCTCACTGCTCCCGTGCGCGCAGTTTAGTGATGCCGAGTGCCGGAATATGATGGCTTCACTCTCCCCCGGCCGGGTAAATGAGCAGAGTAGGCACCTGCAATGTGGGGAGAGCAAGTCCCTACTCTGCTTTAGTAAGCATGTCAAGCTTACTGACAGACACACACTTATATTTACTGAAAGGCACACACTCACTCACCGACAGACATTCACTGACAAACACACTTACTCATTGACAGACACACACACTGATTTGACACACACACACACACTCAAAAAGTAGTTTAATTATAGTTGTTGGTTTTTTTTTTTTTAAACCCACCCAGCCTTCCCTACTTTTGGGAGAGCTGGTATCTATCATCTCCATGGGGTCTAGTGTGGCTGCTGTAAGCGCCCTATTCCTCCTCACCACTCCCTCTGTGCCGTTTATTAATGCTGGGGCCCGAGTGATATCATATCCCTACTCCTGGTGTCACCACAGAGTGTGCAAGGGAGCTGTGAGGAGAAGGAATATTACAGCTCCCTTGCCGCTCATCTACATCTCCCCAACACAGAGACCAGTATATATGAGCAGACTAGGCACCTTTCGGCAGTAAGCAAGTGCTTACTCTGCCTTAGTGAGGGCCCTAAGGGGCCACACGTGACAGGTGGAACACAGAGGGCCTGGTCACACTTGGGACCTGTAGGACTGCAGTTGTTCTGCCACTAGCATGGACAGAAGATGCATCATCAGGGGTCAACAGCTATGACCTCTGCAACCATGCTAGTAACAACACTGCTGGAAATATAAACTTAGTTAGAAGTTCCATTTGCCACAATTAGAAGGTCAGGCTAGCGTACTTCTGTACCCTTTGACATCAGCATTTCACTTAGTGACTAACATGGCAAACTGTGAAGTCTGGAGCACAGAAAGACATGTGGAAAATGACAGAATGTGCCTCTCCAAATACAGCTGTACTAAACGTATGAGGAAAGATCTGGAAGCATGGGGAGATGCAACACTAACTCCAAAGGTAGCAAAATAGGGCCTATTACTTGGATACCCTAATGATCCAAGAGGAACAAGGAAAAACACAGGAAAAACAGACTGCACCAAATAAGAAATACTAGAATAAAACAAACATTGTTTTTACCCTCAACATTTTATGTATTTGCTTGTGTATTTTTTTATCCTGCATTTTATTTTATTATATCTAAAGGAACCTCTACATCTACTTATATATATACTTGGTGGGGATCATACCACCCAAGCTGTTTTCATTGAGCAAAAGTTGCTCTTGAAATTGTGAGTAAATTTTGTATATTTTTTATAAAGTACTATTGTTTAAAACAATGAGCATGGGGGGGGGGCGGAGTGTACCCGTCAAGAGGAGCAGACGTGTGGGTCCCGAGCTCCGGCAAAATAATCAGAAATAGGGAATTTAACCCCTGCCAACCAGTGAATTAATCCACTGACGGGCGTTTTTGAGCTCAGGGGGTTCCAGCGACATAGCTTGAGACCTTGCCAAGTCGGCTACTCACATGGGGCCGGAGAACCACTGCTTCGGCCTGCTATACCAGAGCTGGGGAGAGGCAGACAATCTTCCCGCTCACCGGTAACTCACCAGTCCTAACACTCTCCTACCCCCTCCCCCTCTGGACCGGCAGGGGTCATTCCAGTCCCCAATCGACCGCCTAGACGAACCGACACGGCACCCATCTCCAAACCTGAACCGGGCCTGGCCAAGATCGGAAAGTCGACTCAACATGGTGTTCGAGCCTAAAGAGGAAGCAAACATGCAGCATGCACCAGTCCCTAGCTCCATGGAGTGAATTATACAGCGGCTAGATGAGCACTTTCAGCGATTCTGGGAGGCTCTGGAGAACCGCCAAACACTGTTGCCGCCCCATCCTCGGGTGGAAAATCGGAGTGGTGAGAGCCGGAGGACTCCCTCGGGCCTAGCTACACTACGCAAGCCCGTACCTCCTATATCTATCTGTTTGTACTCCCACCTCTGATGCTCACCTTTTAGACTGCCCTGTTCCTGTGGAATTCCCTTCTTAGACTTTCACCTGGTCTCGATTCCATAAAAATAAATACATTTTAAACTCACTTTTTCAGGAAAGCATATCAATAAAACTTTTACCAGCTTTCCCTCCCCACACCCTGTAACGATCATGAAAAATAAATAACTTACATGTCACTATACACAACTCCCTCTAGCATAAAAACTCATTGACCAGAGCCCTCAACACATCTGGTCCTGTGCAATCCACTCATCTATTACAAATATGTCTGTTACTCCACCCATTGTACAGTGCTATAGAATTTGTTGGCACTTGATAATCATAAAACTGGCTTTTTTTTCTTGCAGGAAATTCTACTAAGACTGCAGTTGTTAGAACACCTCCAGTGAGATCTTATGAGGGAGATTTCCGAAAACCTTTTTTCTGCACAGCCCCCTCCGAGGAGACCGGAAACCCCATATTCTGCTCTCCTGTAAATGAAGTAGATCCACATGGACCAAGGTCCTTCAGAATTATGAGGATGTAACGTACAATTATTTGTAGATTGACTTGCTATTGTAAACACCATTTCAGTTTTCGAGTGACTGTTCGCTAGAGAGATTTTGTATGTCAATTGTGTTAAACATTTGCATTTCCCCTCGTTTGGAGAGTACATTATAAATGGTTAAAATAAATAGTCTAACATGTTTAGTTCAACTTACTTTAAATATTAGAACAGATTTGACAAATGGCTGTTGGCTTAAATTAAAATGCTGCTTCCCCCCCCTAAGTAACACTCCAAGCACCATATAGAATGCAGTAGTGGTTACAGTGCAGTGACCCCACTGCCACTGTAAGAGCCAAAACACATTTGAATGTTCCAATTGGCACCTCCTCTACAGATCGAGAGCTAAAAGCTAATCTGCTTGGACACTGACAGAACAATGGGCTTAGCTCATTGTTCTGTCAGTGTCCCAATAGGAGCTCCAGGTTCTTGGGCTAGCGAGAGGCACTCCTCAGATCCAAAGTTAAATTGCTGTAAGAGATATTAACCATTTACAATGGGCAGGTGTCAGGGCATTACAACCTCTACAGCAGTTGGTGATTGGAGAGGTATATTTTTGCACTTCCAAGATATCTCTGCTGCTTCCATTTACATTTGAATGTTTGTTTTAAACTAGACACCAGTTTTATGTATGCACTCAAGTTATTTTTAAATGAACACCCCAAACACCAGAAAAAGTTGCCCCATTAACCAGTTTAGAATATTTGACTTCTGCAGTCTACAACAGGCATGCTGGACATCCTGAAGCATAACCTCCAAATGTGCAATTAAGTCCACCTAGAGTATTTTGTAGGGATCAACAGATTATTTTTTTTGAGCAGATACCGCTAATCTGTCAACTTTTAGGCTGATATTCTGTGCATTTACGATGTGAAAAAAAAAAAAAAAAAAAAAATTTTTTTTTTTGTTCTGAGCAGGGGGGGGCGCACAGCAAGCTGTGACTTACCTTCAACAACTCCATCTTGGTCTGCAGCCAGGACTCCCAAGATTTACAGAGATGAAGGGAGCTGCTGGGAAGGTATTTACAGCTTGCTGTGGGCCCGGTGGTCCTAGGAGGTATTATCGACAATATCAGGGTCTATTGGCCGATAATGCCAAAAATACTGAATCAGCCAATAATCTGTTGATCACTAGTATTTTGTCGCACCACACAAAACCAGGAAGGTTATGGGAAAGCAAGGTAACTCTGGTTCCGTCCAATGGCTGCTGTATGTTCATAGGTATACAGTATTGCCAAATCTGAATGTTTTAGGAACACAAACATGTATTCCTACCCCTATAGTGTTAAAAACACCATCTAGCCCCTCAAGCAAGACACAGCCCTGGTCAATCAGCATCTCTATAGAGATGCATTGAACAAATGCATCTCTATGAGGAAAATTCAGTGTCTTTGCAGAGGGTGGAGATGCTGAATGCCACTGCATTTTCTCTGAAAAGACTGTTGAAAGTAATGATTCTACTCACCACAACAAATACAATAAGCTGCAGTTCTAGTGAATAGTGCCCCTTAATATCACACTTTATGCCAACAAATCACAGCATCATGTAAATATCTATATGGTAATTGTGTCTGATTTCAATCTTTTCTAATGCAGATGTGCTGATATCAGTGAGACAAGGCAGGCAATTGCTGTTCGGCTGTAATACCCCATAGATTACGTAAAAGCCTGAAACAGGGACTGTCACTAAAATGATGACTGCTGGTGGCTGTGTTACAGTAAACATGACATGATCAAAGATTCACCAACACAATTTAAGCAGTTCTTTTTTTTCCCCCCCAACAACATTAGTAATTCATCCCATTAAATATAAACATAAAACCACAACATGTAAAAAAAAAAAGTGTATTTATTTTTTTTACTATAGTTGCATATGTTAAACCAATTCTGATGTAGATACAGGAGACTCCATTTTCTTTTCAGAACACTAGAAGAATTGAAAGAATATAGTTAGTATAATAGAATGAGAAAACATTACACATTTTGAAAAGATTGAAAGTAATTGTCTGAGCCCGCAAAATTCAGAAGATGTGGAAAGGCAGCCAACCCACCAGCACATCCCTGAGTGAAAAAGATCATTTTTGTCTGCGACAGCCTAAAATCTCACAAGTCCATCACTCAGGACCAAGAGAGGAACGGCCGTCGGGTAACAAGCAATAAAAACCTCAAATCTAAAAAAATTATAGCAGACATTGCAAATTATATCCGACGATTCATACCTATAATGGAGTTCATTTAAGTTATAAGCAGATTTTCTGGCAAGTCTGATCGTCAACCGGTTACCATGCCTGACAGCGTCGTTATCATGCATCAAGGGCGAGATTTACTGTCCCCCTCACTGGTAGAAGATGCAGTGATACCACATAAGGCATATTTGTTCCTTTTTTCAGGCTCTACATAATCCACAGCACCTGCAAAGGAAAACCAGTTGATGGCCTTAATGTTACAAAATACATCTGCCGCAAGCTATACTAGTATGTTACTATCCAGAAGCTTCAAAGAATTCACGACTGCTTAAATTAAAAACAATATAGCTTGTTATAAAGGGGCTTATAGGGCAAATTGTTGGATGCTTTTTACCAAGCCACTTTAACAAAAAAAACAGGGGCTTACAGAACTAGTGCACATCTTTCATAGACCAACATTGGATAACAATAAACTGCAAATACTAAAGGGATTATACATAAGCTATATTCTTATTCAGTTACTGGTGACCCAGTGCTCACACCAGTCAACATTGACAGAAAGCCCATTTACGTATAGATTTTTGTTCTTGTTTATTCTTCTATAGTAGACTAAACAGACGCAAGAAAGTCACATTTAGTAATATTCAGATAAGTCACTGCTAGTTCCCGATATGTAGCAAGACGCTTTACATTATGGGACATATATGCTTGGGGAAAATACACCACATGCAGTAAACATCGACTGCAGCAATTTCAAAGCAACAACCTTTTAGAAGGTCAGAATAAACCAGTCAATTACCTTCAGGTCACGTAATCAGATGTATCCACGCTGCACCTATAAATTTGAGATACATGTTTAGTTATACGAATTCTACTTATATCTGGTCTGTCAATGCTTTAGGAAAATGAGAAGTACTGCTCAGAGCATACAGCATAATCATAGTAATCAGGTGAAACACGGACTATGCAAACTCATCAAAGTAGGATTTCACGTATCGAGTTTTTAGATAGCAATATAGATAGCAATATACGCTCACCTCTCCAATAACATCTGCCGATGTATTTCAGCCATTTCACTTAATGGATCACTGGCACTGAGTCTATATAATAAAAAAAAAAAAAATAATAATAATAATAATTTATAGCGAAATGGAACATTAGAGTTAGAGTATAGCAAGATCGTTTTCACGAGATAGTATACAATATCCATACTACGGTCTACATAAATTCGTATTTAGCGTTTAAGACAAGTTATACAATTTAAGATAAAAGACTGTACAGTGAGAGCTCCCCACGTGGTTTACATTGCAAGCCATTTGTGGCAACATGCACGTTTCCCTGAACCAAGATGGCGCTGCCCTCTCCATGACCACGTGCAACCGACAGTATCCCTTTCACAGACACTACCTAGGCCGCCGTGAGTCCGCGAGGGTCAGGAGACAGAGTGAGTTACAAGCCCTGGGTTAGACAGTCACCGAGCAGCCCGCTCAGTGCATACATGTAATCACAGAAAATCAGGTGAAACACGGACTATGCACACTCATCATAGCGGGAGCAGCTCTGGGTGACCTACATTTCCCTCCAACAAATAATACATTAAATACAGCATGTACTCACCTAACCATGCACTCACTACAACACGGCAGAAAATGAAGCTGAGAGTGCGCGCTCATCCTTTATATACAGTTCCCCCTCCCCGGAAGTGAGCTGTGCTGCACATGGTGACAAGGAGGGATTAACCGGGTTCATTATACAATGCATGTCCTGCGATAAGCAGGGCTGTATTCAATAGGGCTGTATTAAGCAGGGCTTCATTATATAGGGCTACGTTAAGCAGGGCTTTATTAAATAGGGATGTATTAAGTATGCCTTTATTAAGCAGGGCTGTAATAAGTATGGCTTCATTTAATAGGGCTACGTTAAGCAGGGCTTCATTAAATAGGGATGTATTAAGTATGCCTTTATTAAGCAGGGCTGTAATAAGTATGGCTTCATTATATAGGGCTACGTTAAGCAGGGCTTTATTAAATAGGGATGTATTAAGTATGCCTTTATTAAGCAGGGCTGTAATAAGTATGGCTTCATTATATAGGGCTACGTTAAGCAGGGCTTCATTAAATAGGGCTGTATTAAGCGGGGTCATAGGGAGCAGGCATTTTGGATAAAGTGATCAATATCCAGGAACCTTAGGTAGATAGAGCTCCGGTTTTGGTATTACTACATGTTAGCATGAACTTCAGACCTGATCTGCAGTAATTAATAAACTTTCCCTGCAACAGGGAAATGAGAGACCGGTATTTACCAACAGCATACTGCAGGGGGCGATATAGGACCTGCATTGAAATAGCTACTAAACCAGAAGGCAGCCATGTGAAGGGAGAGACACTAGCCAGACTATAATGGATTGCTAGCCATTGTGACACTCCCCTGCTGGACGACATGTTTAGGGATAAAAGTAAACTCTTGTTAATAGGCGGTGTACGATCAGACAAGGGAGGCGAAAACTGTCTAGGATGGGGGATTGTGATTCTGAAGGGGGAACCAGAATTTGATAGAACAAATGTGCATTGTTTGAGCTTACTTCAGTATTCATTGTATTCCTAAATGTTTATTCACACTTATATTATTTAACTATGTTACGCATTACACGTACATTTAAGTGTAAAAAATAAAAAGAAACAAAAGTAGGGCTCGTCCGGGATTTGAACCCGGGACCTCTCGCACCCAAAGCGAGAATCATACCCCTAGACCAACGAGCCATATAATGTAACACATATAAATGAAGAATAAGATGTGTATTATGTTGTATGCTGGCTGCTGGTTGTTTTAACTCAAATGTATCTTTACATTGAAATCGTTTATATATAACTATTGTATTCACAGAGATACTTGTAATACAGTGTTTAAAGAGAAACAGCAATGTAAGGGGAAAAAAAAAAAAAACTATTCTATTTTATACTTGCTAAACAATTACACATACGCAAAAGAAGGGCTCGTCCGGGATTTGAACCCGGGACCTCTCGCACCCAAAGCGAGAATCATACCCCTAGACCAACGAGCCATATATTAAAACTTTCTAAACCATGCATGTATTCATCCACATATATATATATATATATATATATATACACACACACACACACACACACATATACACACACATATACACAAACTAACAGATAGTATCATCACTTTATATTACATACACACAGAGTTTATACAAACACACACACACATTATCATCACTGTATATTACTTACAGACAGAGTTTATACTCACACATAGACAGTATCATCACTGTATATTACATACAGACAGAGTTTATACAAACACACACACATTATCATCACTGTATATTACATACATACCGGGTTTCAGTGCTTTTGACCGAGCATCAAAATAATTTGAAATTTAAATGATACCACTCCAGAGGAATAAAACTCAGTTTTGTGTGATGTGAAGAAATTACTGAGTTACAGAGGAATACAATTCACAGTATTATATAGTGCACGTGTAAAAGAAGGGCTCGTCCGGGATTTGAACCCGGGACCTCTCGCACCCTAAGCGAGAATCATACCCCTAGACCAACGAGCCACACATAACAAAACAAGAGCACTGAAGAATTCTACAAGAAAATGGTTGAACAAAATAAAACTATAAAATAAAAATTTAAATTACACTTTTTTTCTTTCTGTCACGTGTACTTGAATTTATATAAAATACCAATGAAGATACACTTGAAGGGAATCTGTACTGCTTTTCTGATCCTCCACAATCTCAATTTTCGAGGTGGGTGATACACTTAAGTAACTCTACTTTTGTCATTAAAGGGGGCACTTCAGTCACCAAAATCAAAGTAAATGGAAAACTATAGGCTAGCAATATACACCTGTATTCCTAGCACTATAGCATCCTATAGTGTCCCCTTGTTCACACAATATCCTCCCCCTCCCTCCCCCCCTGGCACACAGCCCCCTTATCACTGTCCCTTGGCGCTGGGTCAGGCTCCACCCTGGCTCCTCCTTCCCTGACATAGGAGCGCATTAGGGCAGACCCATAGAAAAGCATTGTATAATGGTATCCTATGGGGTTTTGGGTGACACTGGAGGTACTTATGCACAGCATGAGAAGTCCCTCTAGTGGTTCCCTCTAGTATACAGCCACTAGAGGTGGAGTTGACCCTGGATAATTATTGCCGTTTCTCAATAACTACAATAATTACTTTTGTAAGACTGAGTGCACCCAGGGAGATAGGAAGTTGGGATTGTGAGAGTGCACCCAGACCACTTCAACTCATTGAAGTGGTCTATGTGCCTATAGTGTCCCTTTAACATCCTGCGCCAGTATGAAAAGTGTAACGGTATGCCAGACTGTCTGCATTCAGTGCTTCTCTGTGAGAAGCATAAGACTGACAGACAACAGCAAATGTAAAATACAGTCAAAACAGCACAATATAAAATATTTAAAAAACAGATTAAAACTAGTGGAGTAAAAGCTGCAAAGCACATCAAATGTGATTCCTAAAAACCTTCAACACAAATATTCTACAAAGTGTCAGCGCTTGTTTTCCCCTTAATAAAAAGGGGAAACATTTTTTTTTAAATCACAATATGATATAGTAAAACTAATCTTGATTCCCCTCCACAGTGGTGAATATACAGTGACCAAATCAAAAAAATATATTGTGGTCAGAAGTGAAATGGTGTAGAAAATCCACCGCTCAGAATTGTAGTAATGTCTTTGTGGAAATTATTTCAAACAAATGAAAGTTCTAACACAATTTGTTCATCAAGTAGATTAAAATAAAATAAAAAAATATATATATACACTGCACCCAGACGACTTCAATTTGCTGAAGTGGTCTGGGTGCCTATATTGTCCCTTTAAGTATTTCTTACATCAATATGATTTTATTAACACATTTCCATTATCCTGGTCTCCTGCAGAGGTTGTCAATCAAGTTTTCAATGGGTGCTACAAACCAATAAACCATTCTGGACCTCTCTTTGTGCTGCTGTTGCGGACGGCAAACAGCAGAGATGCCCAGAGGAGGGTTTCACTTACGACATACGAAAACACAACCTTCTTATCTCTTTTGCAATTGGCACAAACTGAATTAACTGACAGGCGAGAGGCTAGGTTGGTTTGTTGCTGCTTTTAGAGATTTGTTAGAAGTTCTGCTTGCACAGTGTTTAGATGAAATTTAATTCTATCATTGAACATTAAACCAGGTTATTTGCTAAACTGATAATGCAGAGTGAATTTCAAATTTAAGGCCAGAGTAACTAAACTAAAAGCATAGATAAGAATATGTTTCATTTGGACTTTGAATTTCCTGTAAGTTATTTATCATAACAAACACATTGTAAAGAAATTCTGTGATTATCATTGGCACTCATAGCATCTGGAAGCAGACTGAATCTCTACATACCTCTTTATGCCACACTTGAAGCTTAAATAAAGAACTTCTTCCTTATATACACAACATGTACCAGACCAGTTAGATATGTTACCTCCAGTTTTGTAACATGAGTTAAAGCACTTTAGCTTGCTGAAACCCTTTGTGTGAAGAGTGTGTCCGCATTCTTTCATTCTGTAATAAGTGCAGATTTCAATAGAAATCGACGCTTTATAAATTACACTGGATATACCCCCTTGGCTTTCAATCAAACAGGTCCTGTTACTTGCTGGTTTGGAAAGTTCAGTGGAGTTGAACTCAGTGGCAGCAATAGTTCAGAGCACCAGCCTTGTAAAGACTTCTCATTGAGCTGCATTGAAGTCTGATAGGACAGTCACAAAAAGTCGTGGTGGGGTTTATAAGGGAGTGATTAAAGGCAGAACTGCAACTTTTGTAAGCAGTTATTGCTCAATGAAAAAAGTTCTCACTTGCGTATATCTACTACACAGTGTTTTTTTTTTTTTAAACTTTTTTTGTATTTGGGCAGTGGAGTGTCCCTTTAAATAAAGGCCTAATTAAAGATGTCGGTACTTGAGTGTACCGATTAGCACCTAGTGCCTATTTTGGCAGGCTGTTACTGGAAGCCTGTAGTAAAGTAGTTAGATTTTGCCAAATCTCAAAATTAAATACACTGCTGTAAGAACCTTTAACCATGTACATTGCCAGCAACATGTTGCCAGTTTTTCCCCATTCCATACCTAGAAACACCTCTGTCTTTAATTTTGTGGTTAATAGTCTGCTACCACACAGCTGTATAGTTTCCAATAATCCTTATCCAAACTCCATACAAACATTTAAAGGAACACTATAGTGTCAGGAATACAAACCTGTATTTCTGACACTATAGTGTCAATGTTGCTGTTTAAGTTACTGCCTGAAAATGTGTTTACTCATTGATCTCACGCCACACTGGTCTTGCCCTGCATCCATGGTGGAGATCATCAATATGGATTATCTCAGCCAATCCATGGCTTTCCATTATGAAGGTACTGGGAGGCCACAATCAGCATCCCCTCAGATGCAATGAATCAATGCATTTCTAGAGTGTGGAGACGCTAAATGCCACTGCTGCAGACTGCACTAGGAAACACATCAAG